CAATAATTCCAAATTTTGACCCCAACTGATACTTGTTATTTTCAGTTTTGTCAAGTATTTTGCATGGAAGGGTTGGCCGATCAATACTAAATCTGTCAATTTTGGGAATAGCCACCCTTACTAAATCGTTAATCTCATATCCTGTTAGTTTTCTTTTACCCTTGGACATTTGTTGAACCATTTTTTCAGTGTATGCCTCGAGACTTTGATAAGCAGATTGACAAAGAATTTCATGCCCACTAAGGTTGTTAGTAACATATGCAAGTTGTGTAGTAATACCTTTAGGTGATGAATTCGAAGTATTGTTGTCTCTAGTATCATCGACATCTATTGCTACTTAATAAATACATTCATTATTACTAATATAATACAATTAATCAATGCATATAATTATATTAGAGGTCGAATTTAAAAATATTTACCTTCAAGATCATTATCTAAGCTTTCAATATCATCAGAATTTTCTATCTCAATCGTTTCAGGTATGTCTTCTTTGTCCTGAATATTTTTTAAAAAAATTCAGCAATTAATATGCAATTTCCGCGAGATTTATTGCCATATACTAGCTCATATGGAGTCTTGTTGTGAGAACAGCAGTAGCTGTTGTTCATTGATGATATGACAAACTGAAGCCCGAATGACCAATCACTTCGCCCTGTATCTTCTTTCCATTTGCCCAATTTTTGTTGAAGAATTCCATTGGCACATTCAACTAAGCCTTGAGACTGTGGGTAACGTGGTCTTCCATTAATTATTTTAACAGAAGGCCACATTTTCATAAGTTCTGTAATTACTGAAGCGCAAAATTCTTTGCCATTGTCTGATTGAAATATTGATGGAGGTGAGCCCAAAGAATGGAAAAGATCAAACAAATAAGCTGCAACCTCTACAGCCCTTTTGGATGTAAGTGCTTTAGCTCAAGAGAAGCAGCTAAAGTGATCTCTGAGATGGCAGATATATTTATAATCACTATCAGCATCGAACGATAGGTCAATCAAATCTATCTTATAAGTAACATTAAATTTGAATTAATTAGTATTTCAAAAAAAAAATAAAAAAAATATTATTAACTTACTTGCATTTGAGATAAAAAGTCTTTAGCAATAATAGGCTTCACTGCTAATGGATGAAACGATGGCTTTCTCACGGCACATATAGTACAATTGTTAACAAACTTTTCAACAATCTCTTGTCTTATTCATCCCCAATTATCCTGGATTGA